GGTGGATCCCATCCGGCCCCATAGACTTGTGAGCATCCAGATGACGTAGCAGGTCGTTGACCGCTTCCTCTTGGATTATGGGGGGTTCATCCTGCTCGCCGTCCCTGTTTTCCAGCTCAGGGCGCCGAGTACCCTGAGGATAACTAGTCTGCCTGCTAAAGACTGAGGCAAAGAAGGCATTAAGTACCTCAGCCTTTTCCTCATCCTCAGTGACAATGTTCCCCCCCTATGACCAGATTTGCCTGATTATTCAATTTACCACATACTCAGGCAGAGCCTTGAGTCTTCACAAGCGCTCCTCAGCCTTTTTCTGGTGTTTCTTTAAGACTCCTCTTATAAATGAGGCCAACACCAGTGTTTGCAGTAGTACTGCAGGCCCTTGGGCAAAACCTGTTGAGTTTATTCTGTTGAATAAACAGAATAAACAGAAGAAACTGGGATTCTCAAAAATTCTGTTGAGAATATCCCTTCATAATCACACACCAATGCCCAAACTTTACCAAATCTTCTTCAAACCTTAGCTGTCTGCTGACCTTCCCTATCACTAATTTGGTAGGGGCCAGAGCTATTCCACTGAACATGTGGGCACTCACTTCTTTCAGAGCCTTCCCCAACATGGCATAGTCACCCTCAATCAGCTCCAGCAGCATCCTCTCAATGTAATTTGTTCTGATGTGAAGGACAACCAGAGGACTGCTTCCTGCTCCTATTGGGAAATTTTCCAGACTGATTCCCATTTTTTATCCATGCTCTGAGCAAAAAACACATTGTTCCTTTGACTTGTCCTTCATCAGGTTCTTGAGGCTGTATGGCACAATAGTGGCTCAGGTTTTGAAGGCAGGACAGCCATGTGTGGATTGCTCTCCTCTTGTAAGGCATTAGCCTTGCGAGGAAGCAGTGTATTGTGCTAATTGGATGATTGTGCTTAGCACAAGTATTTGTATGTGAACCTTTACAGACCTACAAGCCCTCCATCTCACAGTAACACAGCTCTACCTTTTCCTGGTAGTGGCCCAAGTCTCTGATCCTTTCCATTTTGTTTGCAGTTATTCTGTCTTCTTTTTACAGTCCCTCTATATTATCTTCATTCTTTATCTGACCAAGCCTTGATCTTAGCTTGATAAAAATCTGTAGGTTTAAAAAGCTATGCCTTCCTTTCAAGGCATAGCTTTCTTCCTCTACCACAGCCCAAGATACAGGGTCCTTACATGTTTGTAGGTCAGTTCCCTCAGCAGCAGAATCACAATGATAAAACTGCTCTGTGAGTTGTTTGAAGTGAGCTGGCATGCTCAGCCACATGCATGGAGATCTGCATACGATCCCACGAGCACCTCACCGTATTTCAGACCTTGGATTCAGCCTTTTCACTCTCCATCAGCAAAGACTCACCTAATTTCACTTGAAGTGGGGATGGCTTATAGTTCATGGCTACAGTCTCTCCCTCTCTCGTATCGCAATCTCTGTCCGAAATAGATGCAGCTGTTGGATCCTGTTAAGAAAGAAAAGGAAACAAAATGGAATCGTTTAGCTAAAACTTATGCAGTCTCTTCTCTAACTGGCTGTTAGGCGAGTCCATCCCCACCCACATTCAGAGGGAGCAAAGAACATGCTGGTGCTTTGAACAGCTGAAATCCAGGAGCAAAACACAGAACTTTGGAAGCACATTTAGTACGCTAGAAGTACCTCTGGAAATGCCAGATTTCAACATCAGACTTATATGATGGATGATACTGGGAATATTATGTGGAGGGTGGGTCATCAGTTCAAATTCAGCCTGGGCTGGCAGTAGTCCCAAACCATTTTCATGTGATGACTCTTTCGAGTGTTGTATGAAATGCATTTACAATTTCAGCCAAGTTGCAAGTGGACCGGTCAACCTCATATTTAAAACTAAAAAGCTTTCACCACCTGTGTGAAAGTCCAGCTCAGAAGGAACGAGGATTGAATGAGTAGGAGAATTCAATCTCCAGTTCCTCTTGGGAGAGGAAGTCTGTGCTTCCCATGCTGGACCTATTTTGTGGCTAAGTGGAAAGATTTAATTTCAGTATCTGTCAGCACAGCACCTTTCACTGTCACTGAAATCCCCTTGAAAACCAAAGCTCCCCAAACACAGAGTCCACTCTATCATGCCTACTTGCAGACAAACTAATCCAGGTAGTGTTGTACTCTATAGTACAGCACATCAAAGGATTGAGAGAGAGACAAACTACCAATTCAGGCAGTGCTACACCACTGCTAAAAATATTTAAAGTCCTGTCATAGCAAACTTCAAACCTGCTGGAACTATCTCTACCTAGTACCATAGTGAAAACTAAAATTGGTTTTCAAACATGTTCACTTCTTCCCACCTAGAAGGTACAAACTAAATTGAACATGCATATATATATATACACATATATGTGTATGTAAGTTTGGATTTATAATAGGTAGGGCTGCACAGGGAAAACAAACATCCAAATTAGGTCCAATATCTGAAGAAACCATCACTTTGTAAGAAATGGAACAAAGCATCAGAAACTAAATACTAGAAAATACCATTCCAAACTGGTGAACTGATATTGCCTACCTCTCAGTTTCTGGAGTTTGTATTAAAGATGCAACCTATCATTTGGCACTGACACCTGTACGCAAAGCAGAGTCACTGAGTTTCAAAGCAAGGTACCATCGCTCTGCTCTCAGTAAAAAAATCACTTGGTGAGCCACTGTCCCTTCCTCGCCAGTGCCTGCCTTCTCTCTGCAGTGCGCATTAGCTCTTTTTAATACACTGTGCTCATGAGATAAAATGTGATTCTTGAATTAGGCTCTATCTTCATAGAAACTGGTCAAATACCATATGTAGTGTTATAATGTTTTATTAAAATTCTGCTTCTTTGCACTATCCAGTAGACTTTGACACTACTTAAAATAGATGGTGCTTACAAGACTTTGCATTCAATGACATTAAATAGATAATGCTGAACCATATGCAGTTTCTTCTGCTTTCCTCTAGTGCAGTCACTGCTGCACTTTTCCTCTAATGCAGCAGTTTAATGACTGGTTAAAAAGGTTAGAGCAGGTTGCAAACAAACAAGCCAGTCTCCAGGAGAACATAGTTAGGCATAAATGACGAATCACATGCATTTTAGGTTAAAAACCCTACTTTAATAATCACACTAAATGACAAAATACAGCAGTTGAATGGCAAAAATACAGCAGTTGAAATTAAATGAAGCTAAAAGTGAAGTGGTACACAGAAGAAAAACAATTCCAACTTTATAAATGAAAATGATGAGCTGTAGCTAGCTACTGTCACTCAAGGAAGAGATCTCAGATGACAGGTTCCATCAGATGACCAGCTAGACAGACCAGGAATCTTCAGCCAGGGAGAGACAACAGACCAGGGCTATGGGAGAAGTCTAAATAATCCTGAGTGGGGTGAGAAGGTGAATAGGGATCAGCTAGCCCTTATTTTCTACAAGCATGAGATATCAAGTGGCAGTTAACACGCAGCAGCTGGAAACAAGCTCAGTACTTCCCTATACAGCAGATGATGTGCTGCTGTGGATGCTAAAAGGGGCTCAGGAAAGGGTGAGAAAAATGAATGGAAGGAATATCCACCAAATCCAAAAGCACTGCTTCTGGCTCAGGTTGCCCCCAGGCACAGATCGCTGGAGGGGTTAACTAGGGAGGCGTCACTGTGTGCTCACCCTGTTCTTGTCCTCTCAGGGACACGACACAAGGGTAGGTGAGACCTTTAATCTGACTTGAAATAGCCATCCTTATTTTCTGTGTCAGAACCTATTCTATGACCTCAACCGAAGACCAGTTCTTGTGGTATCCTTGTAACGTGGGATTGGGCTCCAACACACCCAGTGGAAGGGGCTGGACCAGAATCCAGGCTGTAGGAAAGGATATTCATGGGAATAGCCAGATAATATAAAGGACACGGCTGTCTCCCAGACATTCTAGAACCTCTCCAAGAGGGATGTGTAAGGTGGTAGGTGGCGCCAGCTGAGTCCAGGCTTCCCGGATGAGAATCTTTTCTCTGACAGCCTGGGAAAAGGCAGGATACAGCGATTTTTAAGGAGCATGACTCCAAGAGCTGGATGCTTCCTAGTGCTACTGAACACAAGTCTTTGGAGCCCCAATCTGCTGGCTGCAGGAAGGCATGGGAGTAGACATATTATGGTAAAGGACATGGTGCAATGGCCACGTACTGCCTCCTGTGCTGGTGCAATCCAGCATAGAGCCACGTAAGCTCACAGCTAGAAGCTCACACGGTAGAGAAAGGGCATGGCCACCCAGACTAGCTCAGATTCACACTGTTAAAATTACTCTTAAACTCTTTAAATCAAAACCAGCCCTTACTTTTGTCGGAAGCTGATGTGCTGACAGTAGCTTTTCCTTGTGGGTAACCTGCCAGTGACATTAGACATCCATTTGCATGAACAGAGGGAGAGGAGAAATGTTCTGAGATGCCTTTGAGGATTTGGACTCTGGTCCTGGACCAGAGGACTCAGCTGGAGCAATCTCAAAGCTGGGCGCTAGACCAAACAAATAGAAAAGGCTTCCTAGACCTCCAGAGAAAACAAAGATGATTTTCAAAGAGTGAAAATCAGATGGAATGAATCAGATTCATTCCATCCTGTCTTAGACGCTCATCTTAAAAGGAGATAAATCCATCCCTGGACATGTGTCTCCCTCTCCCTACTGACTCCAGAGGAGGCCTGGCAACTGGTGGAGACTGCACCCCCACCTCTGACACTGGAGGTAAGAATGATGAAGGACACAGCAGCAGAGTCCGTAATAATGCCAGTCCACACTCGGAATTAATCTCCAAGGTTTGGAACGACACTTTTCTGCCCCAGCAGCATGGCACCTCTACAGCAGACCAGCAGGGGAACGTGTTACGGCCGCACAACAGACCCATGACTTGCACAGAGGGATCACAAAGCACCAGCAGAGTCTAGGTGAGCACCGCTGCATGCACGGGCCAGGCCCGCTCCCTCCAGAGAGTAAAATGGATCCAAAAGGAAACTGAGCTGGGCCAGAGACAGCATCTCCAGTGCTAGCGGGTGACTATCGCTGGCCCAGGAGTGTCGAGGCACTGTCATATTTCCCATCCATCACTTCATATACATTCTGCAGCAACGCACAAGGACTCCATAGTAACAACCCCGGCTGCGAGAATGACAGCATTCCCACAGAAGCTCGGCTGGAGCTGCCTCTTTGCACGAACACGCTTTGCTTCTGTGCATACTGAACGGGTGCATTTCTCTCTCTGTAGCTCATCCACCCACAGAAACATTTACTTGTCTAATTAGCCTGTTGCTTGTGAATGCCTATGAGCACACTGAGACTCATCGCGGGCTTTCACTATTGGAATTCACTTGGCGATTTTGTCCTTTTTTACAAGCCTCCCTCAACTGATGCATTCAGCTCTGACCCCAATGTCAAAATCTCAGCTACGCAGTGGGACCGGTCCCAGGCCAGATGATGTGATTTCTCTCTGCTCGCTGGAGGGCACACAACACTCCCAATCAAAAGGCAAGTGCCGAGCTGTGGCTGCAGAGGCTCTAAATGGCTCTGGGAATTGAATACATTTAAGGGATTTTTTGTTCCTGAGGCCTCCTTATGTCTTCACTCCTAGGGAAAAAATACATTCAATCAGGCCACTGCATGAACATTGGTTGGGGCCAGAGTTTAACCAAAATTTTCTCCCCACATGCTCACAGCTTAACTGGGCATGCAACAATCACAGCATTCGAACGGTGGAGCGGTTCCTTACTAGTTTGTTTTTTTTTTCTACAGGCTCAACACAATGGACCTTGAAAACTTTCCTCCTGCTAGGTACAGCAATGTCCTACGGTGTGTACTATGTGCCATTTCTGAACATCAGGAATTAGTTCCAGTGAACCTTCATGGAGCAGGAGTGCTGTGAATCCTCGGTATGTGGGGGCACAGAGAGAAGCTGAAATCACTTTAAACTGAAATCAGGGGTTTAAGGAAGATGGCATGCTCAGCAGGGTTTTTATTCTTTCTCTTTTTTTAAATCCCCCCTTTCCTTTTGCAGGACTTAGCAAGAAACACAACACCTGCCATAATGCACCAGGTCAATAGCCTTTTCACTCTTATCATCTACCTCTCCCGGTAACCCACACTGACTATGGGGGGGAAATAGGCCCGAACAGCTGGCAAACTGTGCAGTTACACCCTGAGCAACGGAGCTGGGTGCTGGGTACAAACACACCCTTGTAGCACCTTAGCAAGTGCAGCTTCCTTTGCCTTCCTTCACAGTGAACACTTCTGACATCTTGCAAGCCTAACAAGCCTCTGCTTTCCACACTGCGAATCCTCTGGGACCCTAGTGCATGTGGAAGGGAATGGGCACACGTAGTTTCTGTGGCCTTCAGCTGCCCCTTAAAAACACAGCTGGAAACCGAGATTTCTCTATCTGCCCACCCTTCCCAATCCTAAAAATCAGTCATTTTTACAGCCCTAAGAAAATGT